AGCCGAGCGAGGGGCAGGAGCCCGCAGGGAAGGCGGCTGCACCCGGCGAGGCGGATGCTGCGGATACGGGGCTGCAGGGCGGCCGCATCCTCCAGCTCGTGGGGATTTGAGGTTTCCCCGTGGCAGAGCGGAGCCAGCGCTGGGGCACAGGCCAAGGGATGGCTCAAGAGAGTCCCCTCGTGCCCAGCATCCTGCCTATAGGTCACATCCCATGGCCCTTGTCCAGGGAACGCGGTGGCCAGGGCAGAAGTGGCCCTGGGGATGTCCCCTCGCCACCAACACCCGAGCAGCCTGCAGGGACAGGGCACGTTAGAAAGCACAGCCTTAAATGCAAATCTGTTCTCCTCGCCACGGTATTTATAATTCTTCCCTAAAAATAACTGAGAATTCAGCTTTCCAGAGGACATCAACTGAGCATCCCCCAGACCCCAGCTTGTGTGTGAAAGCGTCCCGGTAATTTTGGGATCTCTGCAATATGTAACTCGCAGCTCCGCTTCTTCTGCACGGGAGACACGAGCGCAGGGCCCCTGTGAGCCCTCGCGCCCCGGAGCAGGGGGGTCCTCGTGGGGTTGCTGCTCCGTGCGGGACGCTGAGCCGAGCCCAGGTGCTGCAGCTGGAGGGGCAGGAGCCCGGGAATGCTCCTGTGGTGCCATTTGGAGCACGGGTGGGATGCGGGAAGCACGGGAGAGCGGGACACTTCCCTGGTGAGGCTGCGGGAGGAAGGTCTCCATCAGGCGGCGGGAGCCCAGCACAGCAGCCCAGAGGGGCTGCTGCTGCTCCGGAGCCCCGGAGCTCAGCTCATCCCGGGATAGCCGGGCAGCTGCTCCTGCGGAAGAGGCTGCAGCGGGCAGCTTTCCCTAGAGGATCCCGGGAGAGGCCCGGGACTTCTGCCCATGTCCTGGGGGTGCCCCGGGACCCCTCAGGCCACCGGCATCAGCTCCTGGCGCCGAGTGGGAAAGGTTTCCCCCAGATGCCTGCTTTGCTCCGTGGCATTCCCAAGAAACGGGAAAAGCTTCTCCCTCCGTGCCCATCCCGCCTGCAGGGCTTGAGGCTCCGGAGCCAAGGAGAGCGGGGGCCGTGCGGCCCTTCCCGGTGCCGGAGCACATGGATTCACGTGCCTGGCAGCCCGGCGCGGGCATGGGGAGGAGAGGCTGCTCGGGGATGCCCACGGGGGACATGTGGCACAGGCGTCTCCTCCGCGCCATCCCCACCACCCGCTTAGCCCGGGTTAGTCATCCCGGAGGGATGGAGCGCCCGGCGCTTGGCCCCGCTCGGCCCGACGGGGAGGCTGCGACGGCCCCGTCTCGCCGGGAGCGCCCGGGCACCACGCGCGGGCGCGGGAACAGAAAGGTGGGCACGAAAGCGGGTGATGGTGCAATTAATGGAAAAGCCATTAGACCTTTCTCCTCCTCCCCCTCCTCTTCCTCACTCCGCCACTTGCTGTCCTCCTCCACTTCCACCTCCTTTCTTCTCTCCCTCTCTCCGCTCCTCCTTCTCCCTCTCCTCTCGAAGATTTCTCCCTATTTTTGTCTGGTTAGAGCCTTTTCTTTTCCTTTTAACCCTTCCGTGGCTGCCTGACGGGGAGCTGAACCGATGTCGCCTGCCAAAGCCGTCCCGCAAAGCGCGGCGGCCGCGGAGCCCTCGGTGCAGCCGGCATCGCCCCGCGGCAGCGCGGGCCCGTCCGTGCTGCCCCCCAGCACGAGGGTCAGGCCTGCAAAAACAGCCAGAAACGGGAAAAGACACTGCTGGGGGGCACAAAAAACTGGAAGGGAGTCGGGGCTGAGGGTCCCTCGGGTTGGATTTGGGCACACAGCTCGAGGGGACAGGATGCTGTGGCACTGCCTGGGCTACCGACCTGCAGCAAAAGGCCTCAGAGCTCCTGACTTGCTCGTTTTTTTTTAAATGTTCTCTCTCGGTTTTGTTTCCTTTGCATTGGACACCGCGGGGCTCGCCGTGCCGTGCCGTGCCGGGCCATGCCGTGCCGTACCGTGCCATGCAAGTCGCCCCCTCGGTTGGTCTCAGCACCGTTTGCAGCCTCAGAAGGGCAGGGAGGAGCAGGGAGGGCTGCTCAGCGCAGGGATTTGGGGCTTTTCTACAAATTCAAACACAGTGAGTGGGGAAAGGCCTCCCGGCAGCCTTCCCACCCCCCCTTCCTCCCTGCTCCCGGTGGGACACTGCAGGGAAGGAAAAAGCCCAAAACTCTTTGGTTTCCCCCCAGTCCCGGGACCTGCCGCTGCGCCGTCCCGCCGGGCACCGGGAACGTCGGGACCGTCGTCCCCGGCGCCCGCCCGGCCCCAGGGATGCGGGGGGCCACGCAGGGCACTGGGGGTGCAGAGCAGTTGCCGGGGCGACGGCAGCCTGTCCATCCCCTCCTGCAACATGGATACTGCAGTTTCCATGGAAACCTGCCTTTTTCTCCCCCCTTTTTTTTTTTTAATTTGGACCCAATTCCCCCCCGGCGTTTGGGGAAGCAGTTGCCCCGGCAACAGAAACAGGGCGTTTCTGGCAGCGGTGGTCGCCATGGGGACGGGGATGCTGACGAAGGCTGGCGAGGCTGAGAAGACAAATTGCCCTCATCATTATCTGCGGGCTTGTCAATCAAACGTATTCCCTTATTTACCTCGGCGAGGAGAGAGCCCCCGGAGCACACGGAGAGGGAGGGAGCCGGAGGAGAGGCACTCGCACGGCACTCGGCGCCGCGCAGGGAGCGCTCCCAGCCCCGCGGCATGGCCACCATAACCTGCAACCGCTTCACCGAGGAATACCAGCTCTTCGAAGAACTGGGCAAGTAAGTTGGGGACGGTGCTCGGAGGTGCCGCATCCCAGCCGAGCGGGAGGGAGGGTTTTGCCCGCAGGAGGAGAGAGGCAGCAGGATCCGGCGCTCCCAGGGGCTCGGTGGCACCGCGGGGCTGTGGGAACGGGACCCCTCTTGGCAGAGGGGGCCTCGGGCAGCTCCCGCAGCTGGGAGAGGGGGGGGGACGGCGGGGATCCGGGGGGAAG